AAAAGCCTTTCTAGAAATAGCACATATAGTAGAAAGTGAAGTTTTTTGAAGGAATGACAACATATTAACTTTGACCAATGCCACCCTGGTTTTTGATTGGCCACAAAACAATACTGCAAACCTCAGGGATGCTTCAGCCTGTGCAGAATCATTCCCACAGTCATGATTCTGGTTGAAATTCAAGTTAAGCAGCACCAATGGAGAACAGGCCTAGTTTCCAAGTGAAATTTCTTTCAAGTCCAAGGGTGTCTATGACTTATATTCAGCTTTAGGCCCACCATAAACCATGCCTAGCACATGGTTTAAATAATTCTGAACTAATGCTTTTGCCCTGTAAATACTCTTTTATTTCAAGTCATAGACTTCCTTAGAAACTCATTGCTGGCCTTCAGGACACAGTGCAAAACCACAGTGCACTGTACTTTCATTAAGCGCCAGTATTTTTTTTTAAGTGTTTATAAACAACACTGAAATTTTAATATTTAGCATACACAGTAGTGGAATACTTTAATAATTAAAAAAAAAAATCTTCTCTAAGACAGCTGTTCTAGTCTTCTCAAGTTTCACACAAAAATTATTAACTTTTCTGGCACATCATCAAAGCAAACCAGGAAGAGTTAACAATGCAATGTCATCTTCACCCAACTATCTTTCCTTTGGGGAGTTTCTACTGTTTGTACTTACACACACACACAACTTTAAACTTAAGTTTTCTGTCTATCTACAAAATGGTGCATAGCATGAATTTAGCACATTTACTGTCTGAGTATGCAGCATTACAGGTAAAAAACTGAGCATGACAAAATCGTAAGCATCCAGTTTTCTACACTAGATTAAACAGTTTTTACTTCTTTTTCTTATGAAAGTCATTTGGTCAAATGTTAGATCTCAGTTGCCTGTAATTATGCAAATAAGTATTTCTCTTTTTTCCCCCTATTGACTAAAGCAGAACAGAAATAATCTGCATGTGATAAATTGCTGCATTAGGTGACCAGAACTCAGTCTAACAAATCTAATGGCTAGGGAAGGGTGTTATACCACTTTAGGAACTATACTACCAGATGGCTGTCTCCACATTGTCATGGCAAATGATGACTTCTACCCATCATGTTCAAATGCTTCAAATATACTCTCATAGGCTGGTCGTAAGCCAAGTTCTTGTTGCACATATTCTTTAATGAATAAGGTGATTAGAAAAAGTATTCAGCTTTACAGCAACGGAAACCTACCATATGGTATTCTATCAGGTGAATAGAAATGAGCTTTTTATTTTGATAAAACAAAATAGAACTACACTTAGTTGCTAGGGTCTTTCACTGACACTTATTACCGCTCTACAATTTCCCCTCTTTGCTCTCAATGTATTGTAAGTCTTTACCATTATAGCAGATGCTCAATACGCTGTCTCTACACAAAACTGAAATAGTTTCTCTACCAAGGGGCTTAACACTCAACAGTTCACAAAAGCAAAATGCCTTCATTCAGATTAGGACAAAGACATTATCAGTTGCAGAAAATGATATTAAATATTCATGCCGCACCAATCTGTACTATTAGAAAAAACCTGCTGTCATGAAAGACTGGATACTTTTCCACTTTCCTTTGATATTGAAACTATTATAACAATACAGCAGATAAATTAAAGCTGTAACTTTTGCCATTATGACTTTAATTAAAGAACAAATAATGAAAACATACAATTAAACTGGTAATATATAACTCCACATCAGTGACTTGATATGAAAGCTCAGGAAAACTAATTTCTAGACAATTCTTTAAAGTAATGGGTAACATACAGAAAAAGTCAACAAATTACACCTTATCTACTTTCAATACCAAAACTGATGTTTGCAACAAAATAATGCACACAAATATTATACAGCTTCACAACTTTTCTCCATCATGGCATTGATACACGCTCTCCAAACAATTTATTTATTGGCCTAAAGACTCCTCAAGACAACTAGTGTTTTATGTTAAAAAAAAGCATGTGATGATAGTGGCATAATAAAACATAGATGCCACAACTGGATCATCGTGTATGTGCTGCACAAACACTAACAGAAAATCCGTCTCCCAGAGAGTGAAGAAATACAATGGATGGTAGGGAATATCAGTGAAGAGGAAAAAAAAAATTGGGGGAAAAATTTTATGCAACTTGTCCAGCACAAAGCAAATGAAACTAAAAAAGGAAGCTATCAAATGAGCAAGTAGACAGGGTCTCATAAAAAAACTAATGGGTCATGTGTATATAATACTCTTGTCCTCTATGCAGAATACATCAAATTCTTATAGTATTTATTTCCCTTTATTACTTTAAAATACTAAAATAAATGTTAGATCATAGATTTCTATTTAAAAAACAAACAAACAAACAAACAAATCCCAAGCATATCTCTGATCCTAGCTGATCCTAATTTCTTATTTCTAATATAAACCCAGAAATTAAATATTGCTGTCTATCCCTGGTAATGCAGTTGCTCAAATGAGCATGTTCCCTCTTCTACTCTATGAATCATTCATTTGTTTATAAACTAATTCTAGGAATCTTAAGTAGAGTCCAGCAGTCCACATTCATATAAATATTTCCAGTTAGGACTGTTTGCAATGTCTGCAATGCAGTCAAAAACCGGTTGAGAGTAGAGAAGAAAAGATGAGCAAATATGAGGCAATTCACTCTGGGCTCAGTGGCTAACATAGAACAAGCAGAATACAAAAAGATGAATAGATATAGACAGCTTTTATTAGACGTTAATCTTTGTTAGTTCCCTCTCTCACTTTTTTCCAAACGCTTTCGCTTGCTGGCTCTCCAGCCTTTTCCTTTTTGTCTATAGTCCTTTAATTTCAAAGGACTTGTTTAATATCAAGTCTGAAGGGTCTTCTTCCCTTGTATGAATACATGAATAATTTTCCAAAATTGCTTTTCAGATCTATGAATATGGTAAATTGAAACTTGATAGAGGCTAGTCAGGCAGCAAGTTGCAACTGCTGGCACAAGCAGCTCAGAAGCACATATGTTGTCATACTGCGTAATTCATTCATATTGATCTGTTTGTGCTGTGTGACCCAGATACAGAAGGTCTTCTGATTCCAAAATCAGGAAAATTTTTATTACCTTCAATAGGACTTGTGTTTATCAACTCCAAATGCAAATCCCAATTGACTCAAGTCTCCCACAAGGAACTTTTTTTTTTTCCCCCAGTGAGACAACAAAGCATGACAAAAACTGATGTTTCTATAGTGTGATAGAAATCTGCAGGTCTCTTGTTTTTATTTTGAGCTCAAGTGTAAGATCCGTGTGATGCATCGTATAGCAGGAAATGGAGACAGCAAAGGAGGTAGCATGTGGGAAAAGTGCACCTACTAAGATGGCTTTCTTCATGGCGGAGTCTGGGTAAGAGGCACTGACTTCATAGCTACTACATGGATTTGAAGTCCCTTTACTGCTCTAAAACTCCACACTGCAGAGGAACACATGGAAAGCAGGCACAGCACTAGTGGTGGCACAGAAAATATAAATGCTGTGTAAGGAAGGGAAGAGAAAGAAGGATGCAAGGTCAGAAACTGAAAGA